AGAGGTGTTACTGAGACAGGAACCCACAGGGAGGAGGGAAGAACTATGTCCTGAATCCCAATGGGGGATCCGGTGTGTCAAGAAATGAGTTCTGGGGTTGGCACTTGGTATGGTGGTTAAAGCGCTGGACTCCCACATGGCTAACCATGGTTTCGAGTCCTGGACCTGGCAGCTTGCTTTCTCACTTTCTGTCTCTCTCTGGTCAAATTAAAATTAAATAAAATAGTTCATTAAGAAAGAGAGAGAGAGAGAGAGAAAAGAAATGGGTTCCTAGGAATGACAGGAGATTCACTAAACTAGCTGGAGAGGGGAACTTTACATGCATCCAGTCATCCACCATTTACCCACATACTCATCAGTTCACGTATCTTCCTATCCATCCACACATCTACCCATCTATCCATCTATTCACAATTTATCCACATATTCATCAATCCATTCACCCATCCATCTACACATTCATCTATCCATCCACCATTTATGCACATAGTCATCAATCCACACATCCGTCCGTCAACCATTTATGCACATATTCATCAATCCACACATCCATCCATCCACCATTTATCCACATAGTCATCAATCCACACATCCATCCATCTACACATTCATCTATCCATCCACCATTTATCCACATAGTCATCAATCCACACATCCATCCATCTACACATTCATCTATCCATCCACCATTTATCCACATAGTCATCAATCCACACATCCATCCATCTACACATTCATCTATCCATCCACCATTTATCCACATAGTCATCAATCCACACATCCATCCATCTACACATTCATCTATCCATCCACCATTTATCCACATAGTCATCAATCCACACATCCATCCATCTACACATTCATCTATCCATCCACCATTTATCCACATAGTCATCAATCCACACATCCATCCATCTACACATTCATCTATCCATCCACCATTTATCCACATAGTCATCAATCCACACATCCATCCATCTACACATTCATCTATCCATCCACCATTTATCCACATAGTCATCAATCCACACATCCATCCATCTACACATTCATCTATCCATCCACCATTTATCCACATAGTCATCAATCCACACATCCATCCATCTACACATTCATCTATCCATCCACCATTTATCCACATAGTCATCAATCCACACATCCATCCATCTACACATTCATCTATCCATCCACCATTTATCCACATAGTCATCAATCCACACATCCATCCATCTACACATTCATCTATCCATCCACCATTTATCCACATAGTCATCAATCCACACATCCATCCATCTACACATTCATCTATCCATCCACCATTTATCCACATAGTCATCAATCCACACATCCATCCATCTACACATTCATCTATCCATCCACCATTTATCCACATAGTCATCAATCCACACATCCATCCATCTACACATTCATCTATCCATCCACCATTTATCCACATAGTCATCAATCCACACATCCATCCATCTACACATTCATCTATCCATCCACCATTTATCCACATAGTCATCAATCCACACATCCATCCATCTACACATTCATCTATCCATCCACCATTTATCCACATAGTCATCAATCCACACATCCATCCATCTACACATTCATCTATCCATCCACCATTTATCCACATAGTCATCAATCCACACATCCATCCATCTACACATTCATCTATCCATCCACCATTTATCCACATAGTCATCAATCCACACATCCATCCATCTACACATTCATCTATCCATCCACCATTTATCCACATAGTCATCAATCCACACATCCATCCATCTACACATTCATCTATCCATCCACCATTTATCCACATAGTCATCAATCCACACATCCATCCATCTACACATTCATCTATCCATCCACCATTTATCCACATAGTCATCAATCCACACATCCATCCATCTACACATTCATCTATCCATCCACCATTTATCCACATAGTCATCAATCCACTCACCCATCCTGCCATCCATTTATCCAGTCATCCATTCACACATCTATTCATCATCTATCCATTCATTTACCCATCTATCATCCATTCTTTCATTCAATCACCCATTCATCCACTTAACTCTTCATCCAGTTCATGTATTCTATTAAGCTCCTACTGAGTGCTCCTACTAAGTTGGAAGGCAAAAGAAAGTCTTGTTTTTAAGAATTTTAGAGTCTTTTGTGTAAGACCCAACAAAGAAGCCAACAATCACAATGCAATATGAAGACAGCCATAATGAGGGAAGTCAGTGACCTCTGGGACACAGAGGAAGGTGGGAGTTGAAAGAAGGAAGTGAAGGTTCATGCTTCAATCTGAAGGAGGATAGGAGTGAAAGGAAGTGGGATGGAAGATCAAGAGAGAGTGTTCTAGACCCGGGGAAGAGCCTGTACAAAGTCTTGGCTGTCTGAAGGCCCGGCATTTTCAAGGAACTGAAAGAAGTTCCACATGGCTGGAGCAGATATGTAGTGGATAGTGAGGCTGAGGGCAAACTTTGAAGGTGAAGAAGTAGGCAGGAATTTGGGCTTCACCCTCACGGCAGTAGGGAGGCACTACGGGATTCTGAGAGAGGAAAGCTTTGTTCAGATTTGTGTTGTTAGATAATTTTGGCCTAAAACGGCCAATGTACTCCCACACTTGGATCCCTATGGATAAGCCAAAACCATACATGTTAGGCTGTTTTCCTGAGCTGATGGCTAAGTTATAGCCAGTCACACTAGCCACACTTCAGTCAGTCACAGAAAGCCCACCTGTTGGCTGTTTTTGCAGCCTACCATCCACCTGTAACCAATCCAGTTGTTTCTCTACCTCAGTCCTTCATTTTGGTTTTTGTACATCATTTTCCCTTTTCTGGAACTTAAATACTGAGTCAACCACAAGGCTAGCAGGAGTTGTCTGGAAGTCCGAATCTAGCTTAGCTAAGGGAGGAGGGAGCTGAGCAGACAAACCACTAGATCTTTACTGAGATGCTCTGGGACACCTGGGTGAGTCACTGCACCTCGCAGAGCCTAGAAGGACGCTTCCACTCAGCCTTTCCCTTCCACCAGTAATGGCTATGTCGCTGGACTCCCACATGGCTGACTGCAGTTCGAGTTCCAGACCCAGCGGCTTGAAACTCACGCTGGGCACATGTGCATGTGTGCCCAAAATCCCAAGAGGAGATAGAGGAGAAGGGATTGTCCAGGACTCAAACCATGGTCAGCCATGTGGGAGTTCAGCACCCTAACCACCACACCACGAGCCTGCCCCTAGAGTAGTTTTAATTGAGCAAATCTTAACACGATTTAAATCAGGCTATTGTCCCGGACTTCCAGATGCAACCCCACTCAGCTGCTTCCCTGCTTGTTTTTCCTTTGCCCTCCCTTCAGCTGGAGTGTCCTCTTCCCTGCTGTCCCCATGACCAAAGCCACCTCTTTCAAGAAGCATTCCTGATTGTTCTGATGGACCTTCAGATTCTAGAGTTCTCACAACACTGCAAAGATCACTGAGGCCCTTCTCCCAGGCCCAGACTCCAGGACATTCCATCTGGAAGGTCCCTTCAAATCTACTTCATGGCCTAAAATAATTGAGAAGTCTGGTTAATCCCTGGGGAGGAAACTACCTCCAAAATGTCCCTGGTCTCTGCTGCATGGTTTGAGTCTCAGACCTGGCGACTTGAAAATCATATTGGACATGTGTACGTGTGTGTCCAAAAAAATCCCAAGGGGAGAGTGGAGAAGGGGTTGCAGCATGGCCATCCCCCCTGGAGGGTGATTTCTCATTTTCTTTCTCTTTCTCTGTCTCTGGTGAGCAAATGTGTCCCATAGCAAAAAAAAAAAAAAAAAAAAAAAAAAAACCCCAATTAAAAAAAAAAAAAGTCCCTAATGTCCTTAGTTTCTGCTGCCTCTCAAATAAGACTGAGAGTCCCAGCCTGGAGGTGCAATTGGTGGCAAACCGAAGTAGAGTGCTGGCAGCCACACAGTCACCATGGGTCTGGATCCCAGGGTCTGCCTGAATACATGCAGGGCACATGAGTGAGCCCAAGATCTTGAGGAGCTGGAGGGCTGGGGAGAAGAGATTGCAGCACGGTGACACTCCGTCGAGGGCGTTCCCTTTCTCTCTCATGTGTGCATGCCCTCTATCATGAATAAAACAAATAAATGTAAAAACATTCTAAATAAGGCTGAGCAGCACACATCAGTCTTACCCCAGCTTCCTGCAGTCCTGTGTGCACTGGGTCAAGCATGTGTGTGCAATGGGAGTCCGCCATGTGCCAGTGCCTGTGCTTGGTGATGGGGACACCCTGGTGAAGCTTACTGCTTAGCTTAGCATCCCAGCCAACCTGCTGCCAGAGCGCTGTTCATTCCTCATCTCTGCACGTTCCCTCCTCTGCACCTTTGCCTGAGTGGTGCCCTTGTGTACAATGCCCTGCCCTCCTCTAGAGAGGCAAGAATCCCACCTGCAAGGCCCAGCCTACTGGTCACCTCTTCCAGGCAGCCTTCCAAAGTCTCCCAGTCAGAGAATCCATGCTGTCCTCTAAATTCCTTGATCTCATTTGCATGTCTCTAGAAAGGTCTAGGCCTTATCCTCCCACCTCTAGCCTCTGAGACCTCCATCACCACTAAGGGTAGGATCAGGCCTTGCTTGGCCCCCCACCCCTCCACCGTCACAGCCCCAGAAGGTGCACACCTGCAGTTCCACATGCAGCTCTGCACTCCCTGCAGCCAGGCAGCCTGCACCAGCCCAGAGCTGGTCTAGAAAGTTCTGCATCTCTTGTTGTGTTCTGTTCTCTAGAACAGACGGGGAATTTGTTCTGGAGAAAAGTTCTGAGTCTGTGGTTGAACACAGAGGACTCGAAACCCTTTCAGGGAGTTTCCCTGCAGCAGGGGCTGGGGCCACCTCCCTGTTAATGAAATTGCTAATTGTATCACAGGAGTTTCTTACAGCTGTCTAGCACAGAAAGGCATTCAGTGGCCTTGGTGGCAGGTGGAGGAGTCACAAGAGGGTGGGCAGAAGCCCTGAGCAGAGGGCATGGAGAACAACGAGGACCAGGGTATTTTCCTCCTGCCTTGTCCTAGGCCCCAGACCCTCCTGTCTCCAGCCCAGCCTGGCCTCTCCAGACTGGGCAGGATGAGGGGCTTAGCTGAGTTCTGCCCTCAGGATGGAGGACATGGAGTGGAGACTGCCTCTCCTTCTGCTGCACGTGCAAATGGATGGTGGCCCAGGCACAGGAGGAATGCTCAGTAGGCTGTAGGCACAGAACTCACCGCCAGGGCTGTGGCTTGAGGAGGGGGCAGTGGTAGCTCCTCTGGCACCTGCTGAGAAGCTCCAGGAGAAGCTGGGGAATTCTGGTGTGAAGCCTTCCAAGGGAGGGCCCCATCCTTAGGCCTACCTTCTTGGTGTGTTTCCCTGGGAACAGTCCAAATTTCCTTCTCCAGGTGATGAACTTGAGGCCCTGAGAGGGTCTGTGAGCTCCCGAAGGTCACACAGTGAGGTGGTGGTAACGGATCCTGCCCTCCGGAAGGTTCTGCCATGGGCAGGGTAACCCCATCTCCACCCAGCCCCCAGGAACTGAAGCAGCCCCAGCAGGTGGCACTACAGAGTGGCGTGGGGGGCAGGAGCCCCTGGCCATTTTCTCCATGATCTCGCCTGCTGTCTGTGGCTGGCCGAGGTCTGAGCGTTGCTCCAGAGAATCGAGTTTCAACAAACGGCAGCTGCTGTAGTTCTCCTCACCATTAACGAAAATGTAATAACCACTCGGTGATTAACACAGAGCTGACAGGAGAGGGTGAACGTGCCTGACACCATGTTGTGAGGGCACGGGACATTCTGAGTTGGTCACTCAGGGACAACATGAAGCCAGACCTAGACTCCACATGTCAGAATCCAAGGCCAGGTACCTCTTGGCCTCCAGCCATCCGCCTACAGGCGGGCCTGGGGTTCTCCTCCCACTTACGGGATGACCGGGCCCTGGTGGGGTGGAGCCTCAGGTGTGTGCTCGCTGGTTTCCTGGTAGAGGGGCCGAGCTCCACGTGGTGATGCTGTGGCCTGGGCTGGGCAGGGAGCCCTGCATGGGGTTTCTGGAAGGTCAGCTCAGGGCCTGGCTAGGCCTGGACCTGCCAGGTGTCCAGTGCAGACCCCAGGATCATCTTGGCCAGCTCTTAGAGATCCTCTCATTCTGTTCTGCATCCTGGGGGGAGGTGCCCCTTGTGAGGAACTTGTATCCCAACCTACAGAGCACACTTGGACCAGGAGCTGATGGAAGCCCTGGTGGGCTCCAGCCTCCTGTGCTCAGGCCCAGCCTGGGCAAGAACACGCAAGCAATTGCTCTGGGCTTATCTGGGCCTCAGGCCTTTCCTGGAGTCAGTGACGCTGGGATCTCTCTGTGGAGCGATGCCATGGGCCTGTGCACAGCCACCTCCTGCCTGCTCCTAGGACAGGTGACTTCCAGGCACCCTGAAGCTTGCCACTGTCTGGCAGGGAGGCCCTGCATGGCACCTGCGTGGTTGTCAATCCCTGTCAGTTTCCCCAGGGCACTGTCTATGAAGAACAGTCACCAGGCAGAGCAGGGGATGAACCCAGAGGAGGATGGAAGCTTTTCGCATCTGCTAATAGAGGAACCAAGAAACATCTCCTTTGAAAGGAGAAGTGCTTCATGGCTGAGACCCCGGACACATGTACCCCACCTCTGCCTCAGGCCCGTGCCCATTCTCTGGAAAGCCACAAACATTCCAAGACAGGACTTCTACTGAATCATCTCAAATTCTTCGAATTACACGGGTCTAAGGAAGGATGAGGAGGAGGTGACAAGAGGCGTGGCATGACACCGAAGAGGTTAAATAGGTCACCACCACAGTTGACTATCACCTCGTCTCCCCTGAGCTGAGGAATCTGCACCCAGAGAACCCTTTCCTGGTTTCCAGCACCATGAGTCCCCTGAAGACGCTGCCACTGCTCACCCTCATCCTGGGGGCTTCTCTGCATCACGTCCTTGCAGGTGAGAAAGCAGGCAGGAGCAGGGGGAAGGCCAAGGTGGGGGCATGGAGACCACAGCAGTCACGCACGCACGCACGCACACACACACACACACACACACACACACACACACACATGCATTATCTAAACCCCACCAAGTCCCAGGGCAAGCAGCAATAGGATTTTAAGGGAAGCAATCAGAGGAAAATGATGACGACGGGGTGATGATGGGGATGGTGACTGTGACTATGCTGGTGCCCAGCATTGGAGACTGGCTTGTGAGGAACAATGAGCAGCACACCCCCACCACCACCACCACGGAGGCTCTGAGGCCATGACAGTGGTTGTGGGTTTGTTTTTTAAGTTTATTTACATTTTCTTCTGTGAAGAAGAGAGACAGAGAAAGAGAGACAGCACCCCTGGCAGGGGCTTGATGCCGTGGTCCAGCCCCAGCTTCAGCCAGCCCCAGGGGACTGGAGACACTCACATACCAGTGTGTTCAGGGAGGTCTCTGGCTGCAAACCCGGAACCTTCCTGTGCGGGCCAGCCTTGCAGAGAGCTATTACTGCAGCCGTTGATGGTGGGTTTCCAGTGGAAAAGGCACAATCTCCCAATTACTTGGCAGCATTTGTTTTTACTAATGGGCTGTTACAGTGAGGGAAACAGCATTGACAGGAGAATTGGTTAAGAACGTGTGAAAAAGGAACGCTGAAACAACTGTTTAGCTAGACACACACAGATGCACAGCCACAGACACACAGATAAGTGCACACACGCACACAGGACTCCCCACCACAGAGACCTCACACACACACACAAGGGGTACACACACAGTGACATATGCAGATCACCCACAGACTTCCCACACAGAAACAGACACCCACGACACACAGACACACACCACCTCCCTGCAGAGACACACAGGGACCCATTCTTTGTAACACGGACATACACATGGCGTTCCCCACGCAGGTACACACACAGACATGCACATGCAAACCCACCACGGATGTCCCACACACACACACACAAGCGCTCACGACCACTCTGCTCCCGCTTGCTCTCTGCAGCCCGAGGGACCAATGTGGGCCGAGAGTGCTGCCTGAACTTCTTCAGTGGGGCCATTCCGGTCAAGAAGGTGGTGACGTGGTACAAGACTTCAACAGAGTGTCCCAAGAAGG